ACAACGGGGCTAAAGGCGCCCCGGGGTAAAAGGCGCCTTTGATATTATTTTCATCTAAACCACTAGATGGCACAAAAACGTGGCGTAGCACTTTCCAAAACATCCGTTTTTCAAGATGCACGTGTATATTTGTCTGATCTTTGACACGATCGCGCACAGCAGCGCATTCTGTGCTTGATCTAATATTTTATGTTTTTAAAAATTTTGTAGATTTAAGTAGCAAATGAGAATCGCTAAAATTAATGCATATATTTTGAGAGAAATGTCTTCTTTATGATTTTCAGTTTTGTTTAAGATAATTAAAGCAACAGTTTTTAAATAACGAAAGAATATGTAAAAGTATGGTATTTTAGCCCCCTGCTGTTGGGGCTAAAGGCGCACAATAATTAACATGATAATTAATAGATGGCTGACTTTTCCATTTGTTGACATGACATGGTTAGATTCAGATGGTAAATATCACATATTATGTTGGGTGTCCATATTAGAGATAATCACCATGTTTAGAATGAAACCATCATATTTAAAAACATGATATTAATCATATCATATAAAATATCATTTGCTGTTACTACTGTAAATATATATTCAATTATTATTGGATCTCCTTCAATACTTTCATAATCTTTACTTATTAAAATGATTTTGTTTCTGTATTTTAATATATATTTTTATATTAACATATTTTAATGACAGTATATTTATTGAAAAAAACATTTTTTTTCAAAATAAGCAGAAACTAGTACAAACTTTGCTAAAGTGATTGTTTTGAACAAGTATTAACTTAGACATTATTTAAAAAACATTATTTTAGCTGAAGTATTTGTATCAGTACCGTGTGCCTTTTACCTCGTGCTGGTGAGCCTTTTACCCTGTGTGTGGGGTAAAAGGCCCCTCTTGCCACCTCATACATTTATAAGATTTTTAAACAAAATAAACAACTTGAATGATTTATTTTCACACAAAATCTGTTGCTCCATTAATGTTCAATACAACGTATATATTTTTTCTGCAATTATACATTTTAGGCACAATGAATGGCACATTTTTTTCTTAAGTTGGGCCTTTAGCCCCGTTGTACCCTATACTTTATTGTCCTCGAAAGGAAAATTGTTGTGGATTACATGTTGCTGCAAAGAAATACAATAAACAAATAATAATAACAGTAAACAATGATTAAAAACCTATCAAGATAAACACTTGTTAAACAAACGCACAGATACACATTGGGACTCTATATCTTTTACTGGAGGGAAGCAGTTCATACTGTGAATGCAAGAAATGAGTCTGATCATGAAGAATCCTGTCTACATGATTGAGAATGCTTTCCTCATATAAAACTTGAAGGTTAAGATTTGCATCATGCCCAACAATTTTCAACACTGTCAATACCAGCTGCATCGTTGAAAAAAATAGTTGGGCATGATGAATTCGTCATTATGTTCAGGTGTGTTTGTCATTATCTCCCCTACTTTTGTGTATAATCTCCCCTACTGCTCCGGGTGTGTGTTCACGGTGTGTATGTGTTTACTGCTGTGTGTGTGCACTTTGGATGGGATAAATGCAGAGCACTAATTCCGAGTATGGGTCACCATACTTGGCCACATGTCACGTCACTTTCACTTTTTACTTAAGTTCATTTCCCTTTGTGTTTGATTGCTGGGTCTCTACAGTATTTACGTTGTGTTGGATTGTTGAAATTGACCGTGTGGATCATTAACGACTGTTGATCTTCATCTTCTTCGTCGTGCGATTGTTTGTACCACACAACGGTGACAAAATGAAAGTTTTGATGGTTTATGTCATTGCGTGATTACGTAAACCAACTAGTGAATTGGACCAGTTAATTGAAACAAACTGTCCGAACGCATCAGTTCGTGGAAAATAATCATATTTCCCTGTTTACCTGAGGCTCTGGATTACAGGTAATAATGTTATAAATAATGTTCAGTTTCTTGCACAAACCGATCGTTTCGCTTTATAAGACCTCAATATATTGTCAGGAGCCACAGGTATTAATTTTGTGTTGCTTGATATGCTTTTTTTTATTATTATACACAAAAATGGGCAGCCACTGAATTGCATTTTATGAGTAGAAAAGGACCACCGTTTTGGCTAAAAATCTTCTTTACTGTTCTACTGAAGAAAAAAAGTCACCCCAAAGTGCCAGTTAGCAACCAACTTTTTATAACTGTCAACATAATATTAAAAAAGATGGTATTTAATTGTATGGCTAATTGTTTATTAATTATCAAGGTCCCGGGACGAAAGGTGAAGACCGTAAGTATGATGTTGTTGGTCTCTCATAGACAAATGATTATATTATTAATCATTTACATCAGATAAAGACTTAATGTACTTAAGTTATATTTGCAGTGTTTATTTTTTTGTGTCAGTTACAGTTTTTCTAAATGTTATTTCAAAGTGAATATTATCCTCACATTATGATAATGATGACAAAGACACTGAAGAACTGGCTTTATTTTAACATAAGCACAGAGCACATAAGCACATTATAATGCTTTATTCTGCAAATTAAAATATTTCCTCAGTTAATTACGTGCTTTGTGATACTGTTAGTTATTAGCTGCCCTTGATTCCTGTTTGTTTATGGTTATGTTTTCAGAGCCTCTGAAATCTCCCAGTGATGCTGAGAATGATGAAGACGTTTATGAAAATGATGAGATAGGTAAGATAATAGCACATTAATGAGTGTCTGGAAAAATACAGCCTGATTTGTCTTATTCAAAATAACGGTTGAGCATTCATACTGTATTGTGTTCATTTCAGTATCAGTCAATTAATCTAGAGCAACATCAATCGCTTTGCTTTTCACACTCTAAAAAATTCAGGGCTAAAAACAACCCAATTTATTTCATTTTTGCATCCCAGTGCTGGGTTCGTCTCTTTTTGACCCAGTGCTGGCTTGCAAAATTGACTCATTTTTTTCTAATCCGTTTCTAATTCCCCACTAAATTTGCAGATGAGTAATTAGCCAATGAAATGCTGCCTTTGAATAGACTTGCTGAAGGAATGGAGCAGTAGGTTGACCTGTATATTCAGTGTTGCTGTTTTTTTTTTTTTTTGATAGATTGTTATTTTGAGCAATAAATTAGTAATTATTTAACATATTATTCATATCTTTCTGCCCTGTGAAATATTTACTTACACAGCTTAAAAGGAAAGCATTATTTAGGTTTATTTAAGTTCAGCATATTAAAGTGTTTGTATTAAGATTATATTATGGACCCTTTTCACAGACTGTGATGATGCATTTCCACAGTTATCAACATCGCAAATCTAGTGAAGATTTCAGATTTTCATATTTAAACAATTCTGTGAACCCCAGAAATGTGAAAAGGGTCTGTACTGATATAAAATGAATGAAACATGGCCATTAAATCATTAATTACTAATGTGATTTTAAACAGAGTCTAGAATAAAGAAGCCTGATTGTATTCTAGGAATATAATACATTCCAACTATCAGAAAACTGTTAGTCAGCAAAACAGATAATATGGATCATAGTATCAGGTACATAAACAGTACCTATAAAAGATGGTACAGCAAGTGACAGAGGGTTTAAAATAAAGCCCTTGCAGATCTTACTTGAAAAGTGTATTTAGCTTTACATAAGGTTTATTTTTCTCCAGGCATTCAGTAGGCATTTAGGCCAATAATGAATATATATATATATATATGGTTTATTAGTAGTAGTAATTTGCTCTGTACCATTGTGCAAGATATGGATAAACTCCTGAATCTTCTTTCTTTTTCACAAATGACACTGAAGGACAGCAATATAATGTAGCACCATCAGATAATAACCTTGAGATGTAATAAACTGTCATCTCTTGATACAAATATTCAAAAATATCTATGGCATATGGCATGTTCTCAGTGAAGCTAATGTCATTACAGTTTGCAATGAAGCTATTTTTAATATGCAAGCCAAGTGGTTTAAATTTTAATGTTTATTATTAATGAATTATCAAGGTGCTGAGGAAAAAGGAAACACAGACAAGCTAGGTAAGATGATAAAATTGTTGGTTTCTCATAGATTACATTAATAGACCTTTACAATGATAAAGACTTAAGTTATACTAAAAATGATAGTTCACCTAAAAATGAAAATTTGCTGTTAATTTACTCATGCTCAGGTCATTGTCAGATGTACGTGACTGTTTTTCTTCAGTAGAACAGTGAAGAAGGTTTTTAGCTGAAACTGTGGTCCTTGGTGATTCATAAAATGCAAGTCAGCTGCTGCCCATTTTTGAGAATAAAAAAAGCATATAATGCAACACAAAATTAATACCCGTGGCACCTGAGGATGTATTGAGGACTTATGAAGCGAAACGATTGGTCTGTGTAAGAAACTAAATAATATTTACAACATTATTACCTGTAATCCATTCCAGAGCCTCGCAAATTAATCATTCTTTTTGGTGAACTAGTTGAATCAGTTCACCAAATTGGACTGAACCATCTGAAACAGTTTGTGGCTCAAGCTGCACAGATCTACAAGTTACACAAACAAAACTTACTTTTGGACTCCGTCTCGAAATGAGGCAAAATAGCGGCATATGTGATCCTATGATGAATAAACTCATTCAGTGCTCCAGTTCCTCCACCAGTCACTGAACTGAGGAAACAGTTCCGACTCGCAGACCAATGAGCTGGTGATATGTGCATGCGTGAACTGAGCACTCGAATGAAGGGGTGAAATGTGTCACGGTTTCTGTTAGTTTGGACTTTGTTTCATCACCCTTTGCCTTAGTTCATTTGTTGTTGTGGTTATTCATTTGTAGTAGTTTAGTAGTAGTATACTTTATTGTCCTCAAAAGGAAAATTGATGTGGATTACATGTTGCTGCAAAGACATACAATAAACAAATAATAATAAAAGTAAACAATGATAAAAACCTATCAAGATAAACACTTGTTAAACAAACGCACAGATACACATTGGGACTTTATATCTTTTACTGGAGGGAAGCAGTTCATACTGTGAATGCAAGAAATGAGTCTGATCATGAAGAATCTTGTCTACATGATTGAGAATGCTTTCCTCATATAAAACTTGAAGGTTAAGATTTGCATCATGCCCAACAATTTTCAACGCTGTCAATACCAGCTGCATCAACTGGTATTGACAGCGTTGAAAAAAATTGTTGGGCATGATGAATTCGTCATTATGTTCAGGTGTGTTTGTCATTATCTCCCCTACTTAAGTTAATTTCCCTTTGTGTTTGATTGTTGGGTCTCTGCAGTATTTACGTTGTGTTGGATTGTTGAAATTGACCGTGTGGATCATTAACGACTGTTGATCTTCATCTTCTTCGTCGTGCGATTGTTTGTACCACATAACAGTGACAAAATGAAAGTTTTGATGGTTTATGTCATTGCGTGATTACGTAAACCAACTAGTGAATTGGACCAGTTAATTGAAACAAACTGTCCGAACACATCAGTTGGTGGAAAATAATCATATTTCCCGGTTTACCTTAGACTCTGGATTACAGGTAATAATGTTATAAATAATGTTCAGTTTCTTGCACAAACCGATCGTTTCGCTTCATAAGACCTCAATATATTGTCAGGAGCCACATGTATTAATTTTGTGTTGCTTGATATGCTTTTTTTATTATACTAAAAAATGGGCAGCCACTGAATTGCATTTTATGAGTAGAAAAGGACCACCGTATCGGCTAAAAATCTTCTTTACTGTTCTACTGAAGAAAAAAAAAAAGTCACCTACATCTTGGATGGCCTAAAAGGGAGTAAATTACAGTTTTTCTCGATTGCTTAAACACATTTCTTGAAACTATGCCTCGTATTCTCAAAACAGTAAACACAAATCCATAACGTCTCACCCAATTCCCCAAACATCCTATTTTCAGGTCAAAATGAAGCTCTACACTCAAAACCATTCACTCTTGCTGAAAAACCAAACTTTTCCCTCAGACATCACACACAAGCTTTCAAAAACACACACACACACTACAACATAGTATTACACACACTGGTGCAATAAATTCAAAACAATATATCCAAAACTGGTAAGTTATGTTGCTTGTGGTTCTCCCCCTCAAAAACCTTTTCACATGAACACAAAAGACACAACCAATGTATACATTGGCACATTTTTATTCATTCATGTACTACACAGCACAACTGTAAAAAAAAAAAAATTCCGCCTCAGCATCCCGTCTTTGTTCTGGGTCAGGCCAGAGAATCTCGTCACCACGTCCTCTTCCTCTCCCTCCTCCTCCTCTTCCTCCTATCCCTCCTCCTCATCCTATTCCTCTTCCTCCTATTCCTCCTCTCCCTCCTCTGCCTCCTCTCCCTCCTCTTCCTCTTCCTCTTCTACCTATTCCTTCATTTCTCTGTGGATCCATTGTTCCAAAGCTCAGTGAACTGATTCGGGCCCTTTTATCTATTTATTGAAGGATCTGATTGATGTGTGTTCAATTTTGACTCTTAGTGTTTCCACCTGGGTAATTGTTTGCTAATTGAGTTGAAGCTGTGCTGACTTGAGTGAACAGTATTGAATGCTAGTGCTTTCTAAATGACCACATGGTGTAAGCACTGAGAAAAAAAAGGGATTTGTGTGTAGAGTTTTGCAGTAACAGTTCACCAAATCTGACTCATGTGTTAAAGCAGGGGAATAGTGTTTATAGTTCAGCAAAATGGGTGTGCTTTTTGAAAAATGGCGTTATGGTTTTGAAATTTTAGTTCAAAAGACTGGTTATAGTGTTTTAGCAATCGAGAAAAACTGTAACAGCACATTTTCACTTTTGGGTGAACTATCTCTTTAATGTGATTTATTATTAATAGTAATTTACTCCATTTTTTCCTACCATTGTACATGAAATGGATAAACTTCTGGATCTTCTTCCTTTCTCATAAAAGAGCTTGGAGATCATGATGTAGAAGTGTCAAACGGTAAGAAAAATAAACTGTCACAAAATCTCATAAAAATTCTAGAAATATCTCAAATATATTCTCATTGAACCTAGCCCTAACTGCTTATTCTGAACCCATCTCTAATACAATTATTCATTGATAAATAATTACTAACTAAACAGTATCTGGCACAGTTGCTGGTTGAGCACCAAAGTGCCAGTTAGCAACCAACTTTTTATAACTGTCAACATAATATTAAAAAAGATGGTATTTAATTGTATGGCTAATTGTTTATTAATTATCAAGGTCCCGGGACGAAAGGTGCAGACCGTAAGTATGATGTTGTTGGTCTCTCATAGACAAATTATTATATTATTAATAATTTACATCAGATAAAGACTTAATGTACTTAAGTTATATTTACAGTGTTTTTTTTTTTTGTCAGTTACAGTTTTTCTAAATGTTATTTCAAAGTGAATATTATCCTCACATTATGATAATGATGACAAAGACACCGAAGAACTGGCTTTATTTTAACATAAGCAGAGCACATAAGCACATTATCATGCTTTATTCTGCAAATTAAAATATTTCCTCAGTTAATCACGTGCTTTGTGATACTGTTAGTTATTAGCTGCCCTTGATTCCTGTTTGTTTATGGTTATGTTTTCAGAGCCTCTGAAATCTCCCAGTGATGCTGAGAATGTTAAAGGCGTTTATGCAAATGATGAGATAGGTAAGATAATAGCACATTAACGAGTGTCTGGAAAATAGCACATTAATGAGTGTCTGGAAAAATACAGCCTGATTTGTCTTATTCAAAATAACGGTTGAGCATTCATACTGTATTGTGTTCATTTCAGTATCAGTCAATTAATCTAGAGCAACATCAATCGCTTTGCTTTTCACACTCTAAAAAATTCAGGGCTAAAAACAACCCAATTTATTTCATTTTTGCATCCCAGTGCTGGGTTCGTCCCTTTTTGACCCAGTGCTGGCTTGCAAAATTGACTCAATTTTTGACTGTAAACACTACGAGTGTAACAAGGTGGTTTTTTGGTTTAGACCAATGCTTTAACATTAACTAGCATTTTTGTAAAAAAAATAAAATCCTCTCTGGGTCAATAAATGACCAAAACACAACATAAGGTTTAGGAACAAATTTGACCAGCTTCAGTAATTTTTATTTTTTATTATTTTTATCCTGCCAATGAACCCACTGCTAACACTATACTGCCAAACCATCAAGCTGAGTGCTGCCAAGAAAGACACAGACTGAAAGCCTGTAATAAACACTGGAAGTATATATAAACTGTGTATTACAGCGAATCAACAGGATTTTACTCTCTCTGTTTAAAGCATTTTATTAGCTTCTCTCATGAGCCATTCCGGTTTATTCAGCCTGCTCACCCATCATCGCTCGAGTTGGTTTTGAGAGAAAACACTCCAACAAAACCGTCCATTTTTAAAAGAAAACTTTTAAACTGACTTTGAACTTTTAAACTGACTGCAGCAAGGAGCATGTTGATTCGTCTTTTTCTATTTATTGCTGTCATAAGCTCCGTGAATACAATTGGAATTGGCTCATACAGAACCGTGACGTACATGCTCTTATTCATGTCCGCATTCCCAACTCAGTACTGTTGAGTTACTGATTATGAATGATTATTATCAAACTAAATTGTCAAATCAGTCTGGCTTCCTTGCCTAACAGTCTCTACCCAGTGTTTGGGTAGAAAAAGTAACCCAGCATTTTTTAGAGTGCAGCTCAGCAAGTTCAGTAGATAGCTCCTGTTTTTCCTGCTCTAAATTTGAATTCTTCTTGTTTATTTTATTTTCTAGAAAAATAGCAGCTCTACTTCTGTGAATTGTCTGGTGGAGAAACTTAAACTGCATAATGAGGATTTCGCATCGTATCATCTATCGCAAGGACATTCTTTTTAGAAATGAGCAGTAAATTTTTTATGAATGTGAAATTAGTTTGTTTTGTTCGCCAATTGTAAACTTTTCAGTTGAATTGCTGCACTGTGCAGGGAATTGGATTTTTTTTTTCTCCAAACTGTCCACACTGTTTGCATATCATCAGTTAGATCTGTGTCTAGTTTGTGATGTTTTTGGCAATCTGTGTTATCTGCATTTGCTTTTTTGCTTGCTTTAGTGATGATATAGTCTTGGCGTGGCATCTTGACTTAGTAGTGTCTTTCAGAAGCATGCTGGTGGTATGACAAGTGCTTACCAATACTTACCAGCTTCCTTCTTGGACCTGCGATGACACTGGTGTCCACCAGAAAGAGAAGAAGTGTCAAAAGAAGAGATGTGCATTGGCAGTGGTAACTTCAGGCCTGCTTATCTCAGTGCCTGATTTGAGAGCAGCAGTCACAGCCATACTAATTGAAGGTGGTTGTATGAAAAAATCTGATGTCTGCCAGTGTGAACTAGGGCTGGGCGGTATGACGGTATCGTTACTGCGGAATAAAGTGTCTATCGTTAGAGATTTTGCTATATCGTGTATTCCGCGGTATGCAAATATATCTGCGTAACAGACAGCATGCGATCGCGAAAACTGATCTCTTTCATGCTTGAATTATCAAATACACACACGATTAGGGCTGTCAAAAAAAATTTCGAATTTCGAATATTCGTCGTATTTAAAATAAAAATCCACATTCGAATGCAAAAACGTTGCATTCGAATTTTAGGTGTGCTTTAAGGAGGCAGCCTTATCAGCGGCGCACAAGATGCGATGACGATGTAAGTGTCGTTGCATTATAATGTTTTTGTTAGCCTATCCAGTTGAAGCCACTAGATG